GGGCTGTATATATATGTGTATATATATATATATATATATATATATATATATATATATATATATATATATAATAACTGCTTTACTTGAATTTCTCATTTTTGTGTATTTTCTTTCCTCAGAGAGGAAGCGATTAGGTGTGGGTCAGTCTCAGGAGATGAACACCCTCTTCAGATTCTGGTCCTTCTTCCTCAGAGACAACTTCAACAGGAAGATGTACGAGGAGTTCAAGCAGTTTGCCCTACAGGATGCCAAGGAGTACTACAGGTAAGAGTTTTAGTCCTGAATTCTGTTTTATCTGCAGACTCTGTCTGAAGAAGTTATCAGCCTTTGAGAATTCAGGCAGCTAATTCCAGAATAGCCAGGAAGTAAGTCAACCAAGTTAATTTGACCCCTTCTCAAGTGCCTCCAGTTTGGCAAGAGAGTGCATAAATGACATACCGAAAATATAAATGTTTCTGCTCATGAGTCCCTCAGACTATATACATAACCAGTGGTATAAACATAGGTATTACAGATGCTTCAAAATTCTCCCGATTTTGATTTGTTTTACAGAAAAAGCTACAGAAGGCTTGAAAAATGGTTCATCTCTATTCTTGAAAATAATAAAATATGAATGAAATATTGGCTATCATAGCAATATCTCATGAGAGAGAGTTACAGCTGGCATTCATGTTCGACCTACATAGCACACAACATACAAACACACTCACATTAAAATGGCTGACAAGTCTGAACATTGTTCTTTCTGGTCTGTCTTGTTCCTATACAGGGATGCATAAACTCTTCTGGTTATTTACGCACTGATTGTTTGTATTAGTTGTTTTTTGCAGTTGTGCATATTTTCAGTACTAAATCCTGAATGCTGAAGGCTTGGACTCCTATTTAACTTATTTTTTGAACCAACAAAACTCATAATGCAATATTAAAATTAGAGCCTGACCGATATGGGTTTTTTTGGGGCCGATACCGATATTTGGGAGTAAAAAGGCTAATATTGCTATATCGGCCGATATTCTTTGAGTATATTATAGTACAGTACCAGTCAAAAGTTTGGACACTTTCCCATTTGTGTGTCCAAACATTTGACTGGTACTATATCTAGAATACAGTATATACATACACAGAATATATATACATAAACACATTTTTTGCAATGATCACTCAAATGTGGTGATCAAACACTTATAATGACGTGACAAAGATATGTAATGATGGAGGCAGGACATTTAACAAACTTTATTATCCAAAATGAGTTTTTCGGGGGATCCCTTCAGCTCGAGGAGCCCTCTCGAATGCCACCCTCCGCGCATCGGTAGCCCCCTGGGATCGCTAGATCGGTCGGCGCCGGACCACAAATTTAACCGCCCGTAACTCCCGAACCCCAGGGGCTATCGACGCAGGGGTGGTCTCATTTGAAAGCGAGCTTCTAGACATACACTCGATTCGCGTTCGAGAGGGTTACTCGAGCTGAAGGGATCCCCCGAATTTGGTGCGGATCCGCCGCGCCGTTATGGAGATATGGCCGTTCAAAGTTTTCAATTAAGTTTTCCATAGACTTGAGCTTTAAAGCGTTTCATCCAGGTCACCAATAGCAAACAATGGCGCGCGCTCTGCTGGACAAACTAAGTAATTACACCATTTCAAGCATTTTATCTGCGTTATATGCTCTGTAAAAAAAAAATCATATCGGCGGCATATTTGCCGATACCGATATATTGGCGACAGGCTCATATCGCCCGATAATATCGGCAAAACGATATATCGGTTGGGCTCTAATTAAAATCATGTACAATATCAAAAGGATCTTGAACTCCAAATGCTATCAACATCACAAATCTTGCAGATTCTTAAACAATAAAAAAAAATTCTGGGATCCCAGATCATTGCAGAATAATATTTCAAAATCTTGTGCATGTTTTTTAGGCACAAAATGACTGTCTTAAGGCAAGTGCAAACTGTAGTGTAAACTATACCAGCTCTGACTTTCTGCATGTATAGCATTTGCAATGTTGATAATTGCACTGGTAAAGGATATATAAGGTTTTTGTACACTATCTGCTGTGCTACCTGGGAAGGCCAACACTAGTTTCCTAATGTGTGTTCAAATGTTTGTCACAGGTACGGACTGGAGTGTCTGTTCCGGTTCTACAGTTATGGACTAGAGCGGAGGTTCAGACAGGATATCTTCAAGGACTTCCAGGAGGAGACCATCCAGGACTATGAGAAAGGTCAAACATTCATAGTTTGGCCAAAAAAAAAAGAAAAAATGCAAAGTCAGACATCTTTATTGTGCCATTTTAACTTTGCATATCACCCACCATCTCAGTGTCTGATGTTTTGTGGGTGAAATTCACTTTTTGCATTGGTGGAAACTTATTAGTAAACTTTTTTTTTTGTTAATTTTATTTTTTATTTTTTTGCTGAAAGATGTGTCACTATGTGCTTGCATCTGATGTTTGTGTATACGTGTAGGTCAACTATATGGACTGGAGAAATTCTGGGCTTTCCTGAAATACGCAAAGGTGAAGAATCAGCCCATTGACCCCAAGCTCCAGGAATACCTCAGTAAATTCAAGAGCATCGATGATTTCAGAGTAGATGTGAGTATAAGCATCAGTCTTACATGTTAAAGTGATCCCAGAATAACACATTAACCCTGTAAAAGCCTAACATACGAAATAGTAGTTAAAAAAAAAAATCTGAAATGGTTTTTTAAACATAAAATTAAATCTAAAATGAAAAGGTTTATGTGTGTGTTTTATGTTTAGCATAATTTTTTATACATACAAGGTTTTTATGGCTCATAATATGATATAGCAGAATATGGAGCTCATACTCAAAGAAGAAAAATGTCACAATTTTATTTAGAGGTGCAAATTGAACAAAATATGCAATTTGGTGCAGTTGCTTATATATATATATATATATATGGCCAAAAAGTATGATGAAATTGTGACAGCTTGTAATCTAAATCAATAAAATTTCATAACAGTATATAATAGATTACATGTATAAAATTGATATAACTAACAGTGGTCATTATATAATAATCCCAATAATATATTTCAGTGAGATGATATTTAAATGCTCAGTTTTATGATAATTTATGATCAGCTTTGTATTTTTATTGTGGGGACAAAACGTAATGCAGTAATGCAATACATTGGTGAATGAGAGATGTACAAATAAATATTCCTCAAAAGCCTATGTGTATATATATATATATGTATGTATGTCACGTATTTATATCATATTTGATACTTACATTTTAAGGTGATTTATTTACTTTCTTAAATGATGTATGGATATTCAAGTAAACCTAAGTTGCTTCAGTCCAGTAAGTGTTTATCTTGAAATATTACTAACAATATATTATTATAATAATTCTTAGGTTTACTTTATAAAAATCAGTAAAGATTTTACAGCAAAAAGACACATGTACCATGACCTGAAGGGGGGTGTTTTTAGAATTATACTAAAAGGCATTTTACTTACTAAAAAAATAATGTAAAAATCAATAGTATAAACTATTGATCAGAAGGCATGTAGTAAATGTGTTTTTTTTTTCAGCAAAGTTTTGATCATATGGATAATTTATAGGCCTTAGAAATTTGTATATCATGTATTATATAGTAGGCTTTATAGGGTTAATAGGATTAGTCAATATACATTTAATCACTTTCTAACGGTTAATATTAGTCTGTTGAACTCTAAACCAAGTGTAATTTCCCTTCTCTTAGCCACCAATGCCAGAGGAAGGAGTAAGGAGGAAAGCACACTCGTCCTCCACAGGGGACGAGGTGAAACGTAGGCGGCACAACTCGACATCATCATCGAAACAGACCCCAGTTGTCAAGACATCTTCAGACAATCAACCAACCGCAGGAGTGATGGCAAAAACAACCACAGCGGATCAGGCCGCTGCCCCAACGACAGTGAAAACCACCAATCAACCATCAGCCAAGCCAGTCACAGCCAGTCAGAAACCAGCACCTGTGTCCGCCGAAAGCAGCACGGCTAATGACCCGTCTACAAAAGCCCCACCCAAAGAGAATGTGAAGAAGAATACCTCATCAGATGCTCGTAAAGGAGAGGCGGCGACGAGCAAAAGCAAAGATGCCCAACAGCCAAAGAAATGAACCTCTTACTACACTATATACAGTATTTGAGTGTGAATCTAACTCTGGAGCTATGAACAGATTCTTAGTGCTGGTGCAGGCTTACGTTTTACACCGTAACCTTGGAAGTGAGCCAGTCAAACCGTTAGGGCAAAGACCAACTGTCAGACCGTTGCATTCACAAACTGAAGAGTGAACCAGAAATATCTTTGTGTTGTACAAGGTGCTTTTTCTGGACAGGTTAACTTCCATAAGAACTTTTGTTTTTGTTTTTCTTTTAAACTTTCTCTTTTTTTCTGCAGTTAGTAGTTTCAGAATCAATTATGCATGGTGACCTTGTTTTGCTGTCAAGTTTACAGAAGGTGCATTCCTACATTGAATGCAGTTTTATCACTTTTTAAAATGAGTTTTACCTTTGCAAATGCCTTACATTTCAAAAGCAACAAATATAAATTATGATTATTATTATTTAACAAGTTATGTTATAGCCTGCCATATAATATTTAAAGCAGTTAAATTAATTTTGTATTTAATTCGCGTTCATTTTTTTTTTGTGTGTGTTTTCAATATGAAACTTTTAGAGCTGCAAGCTAATTACAAGCATATTTCCTGCATATTCTAGTATTTTATCGCGGTCAGCTACTGATAAATATAATCATAACAGTTAGCGCCTTTTCATCATCTCAAGCCATTGTCTGGTCGCATCGGGTCGCAAGCGCTCGGTGGTCTTGTAGGCGCTACGCTTGACATATGACTACAAATCCCAGGTGCCAACGCGGTGTTCCGGTGACAGGCAGCCAATCAGACACGCCCCTGAGTGCCAGCTGGGCGGGCGCGCGCGGTGGGAAGGCGCTATCGTTGCAGTATGGCGGACGATGGGGACGGTAGGAGTGCAGCGGCGGACACTAGCGGCGGGCAGGGGACGACGGAGGAGTTGGATCCGGGGACCGGTCTCGGTATAAGCGGCATGCTGCTCGATCTCAGCATTTTAGTGCTTTTGCTGGCCGCGTGTTACGTGGTTTACGCGCGGTGGTGGAGGAGGGCGGGTGCGGACGCGGGCCGGGGCAGCGAGGCCTCGCCGCTGCCCAAGATGAGGAGACGCGACTTCACCCTGCAGCAGCTGCGCGAGTACGACGGTGTGCAGAACCCGCGCATCCTCATGGCAGTCAATACCAAGGTCTTCGACGTGACCAGCGGCAAAAAGTTTTACGGACGCGGTAAGGAGAGCCCTCACATCCTCATTCAGCGGTGTTTTTTAACTTCAGCAGTGAAAAGGGTACTAGTATCCAGTTAGCAAAGTCTACAAAAGCTTACGTACTATGGAATACGCACTTATAACTACTGGATAAACAAGTATTAGCACCCCATTAATGTTATCGGTAGCACTTTATTTTGCAGTTTGCCTGTTACACGTTACTATTGCAGTAACAGTACATTATGCGTAATTACAAGAAACTAGCCACAAACCTATAGTAAATATATGTGGTTTATTAATATTTCTCAGTACTTATTTGTATGACTACACTATAACAAGGACATCTTAAAATAAAGTAACTTTTGTTATACTGAAACTGTCAGTACCCTGCAACAATTGAAATGCATACTAGTCTGCATACTTTAGCCCTTTCTAACTAGTAGTAATGGAATAGTTACATGTTACAACTGGATACTAGTAATTATTCCAGCAGTGACTAGCATCTGTTGAATAAGTACTCGTGACTAATTGTATAGATACTAACCAATAATGAAGTACTAACATCTAATTAGTAGTTACTAGTGAAATAGTGAAGGATACAATCAAGATTACTGGTAATATTTTATTATGTTGTCCTTGTTACACTTTACATGTAGTTGCTGTAGTAATAATAATAAATTATGCCTCATTTTAAGCAGCTAAACCTATAGTAAGAGCATGTTGCTAATTAATATTACTCGTAATAAATAGTACAAAGTAACACAAGCAGATACTAGTTAGTTTTAAGAAACAACAGCTTGCCATAGGAGAATAGCTTGTGTGGTAACCAAATTATACTTGTCAATACTCTGGTCAGAGGAAAGCTAATACTGGTAAACACTGTTCAAGGTAAAGTCACACAAAGCCTCTTTCTCCCACAAACCCCCTTTGTGATGATGCATGGGGTGGTCTGATGTCTTATCAGAGTCTGCCAACCTCTTGACGGGCCCTTTGTCTTATTCATAACTGCGGTTAGCTTTCTCTCACTCTGTTTTGCCATGGTGAACTCTTTCCCAGGCATCAACCTGTCATGTCACATTTTTGAATGAGAGCCATGTGTGACGTGGACATACAGGGTGAGAGCCTTGTGCTGGCACACCTGGCAGGTATGTACTGTACAGTTACAGCTGTACCATGCAATAATCGATATGCTTATTTTAAATGCGTAACGCTAACAGCTTGATTTGCTATGATGGATATTAGGTCTGCTAAGTTTAACAGTGGCCTTGGTTAAGAAATCAAGCACTGAGCTTCATTCCTTCCTCCCTCCCCTGCAGAGAAATCCTTGTTTCTTTCCCCTGTGCTTTAAGAGTGGTTTACAGGCTTTCAGCTGCTGTTCAAAACAGCTGTTTGCTACACAGAATACTTGAAATATTTGCTGTTTTGTCTGTCTGGAGTCTATATTTGGAGACCAGGTCAGAAGTGAAACCGAGAATGCACATAAAACTACCAGGATTGCCACAGCCTTTGATTGCATTTACCAAGTTTTGATTCACAGTCCAAACTAGAGCCTCTGATTGGACCTCACATCTCCCTCTGCTATATTTGTATATGAGATATGTTATCTGATCATCTGTGGTGTTTATGGGGGAGCGCAGGGCGTTCAAGGTGTGTTGTCAGCAGTAGACCAGACTCTGACCAGTGCGTCATTCGTTTAGACACCTGTAGTCCCGTGTGGCATCTTGCAGCATTTCACCCAGACAGAATATGAGATCAGTTTTATTTACCTGTTGCTGCATTCATTTATAACCCCATGAGACTATAGCAGAGGTTTGTACTTTGTAGGGAGACGTGGTGTCTTATCACTTGACCATAGGGTAGCTTGCTTTTTGGTCAATGTTTAGCTGGACCTGCTTGTTTCTTCTAAGACTATTATTGCTCAACTGCTGAAAAAAAGAGGGAGTGCGTGTGAGCTAACTGGCAGTTGCACATGGAGATCAGATGATGAACCAAAAGTAAGTATCAAACGATGGCCTTCTGATTGCCCCTACTATTGCCTTCTGTTCTGAATAAACCTAAATGACTGAAGCTACACATGCCAGAGCAGCCTAGTCATCATCAGGCTTGATCTGGAAGGATTTTGGCAGTCATACTATTTATGAATCATAGATTCTACTTCCCGTTCAAGAGGTTATAGAGTAAAACTCTGAATGCAGTAAGTATCAGTGATGTGTCTGTCCTCTTGTCATCTCCATTTATCACATCTATTCATTTGTTTGTCTTGATAGGTGACTGAAGTTCATCAGTCTGTTGTGCTCATTTGTCATGTTTCAGGTTTGGGAGGAAAGGTGAGACCTGAGCTGCAGTTGATTCTTGTTAGTGTGGTATAGTGTATTGTCACATTAATTTCCTTACTCAGTGCTGTGCTGTGTGTTCACAGAATCTCTCACAGCTGGAGTAGCTGTTTGTTTACCTGCATGTCTCTGGGATTGTCTGAGCCACTGACTCCACAACTGTTTTCTTTTAGTAGGTTCACAGCAGAGTTTTGTTTTGATTGCATTTCAGCTGGGTTCATCCCACTTTTATCAGGCAAAGGATTTTTTTACATAAAATTATTTATTAAATTATTATTTAATTTATATTACAATTAATATTATTTATATTCTAAATTATTATTATTAATACTACTGCTTAAAATAATAATAGTATTGATGATATTTAATACTAATTATTGTTAGTTGTAATTGTTGTTTATTATTCATTATTATAAAGAATTATATAAGTGCTGTAGGGCTGGGCAAAAAATCAAATGTGATTTTCATGCGAATCTCGTCAGTAAAGCCGCTTCTGGTGACTAGTAGTAAATCTCCACCACGTGCTTTCAGATGGAGTGGCATTTACTACACAGAGCCGTAGTTCACTGACAAGCTACACAAAATCACGTTCAAAATCGCAGGCGATCTGAACGCACGTGCTGGAGATTTACTACTAATCACCAGAAGCGGCTTTACTGACGAGATGCACATGAAAATCGCATTTGATTTTTTGCAAAGCCCTAAAGTGCTGTTATTAGTTTAAACACTTGGCATATTTTACCTTCATTATTTTATTTCAGACAATAATTATTAAGAGTTAATTTATTTTTTATTTTAATGTAACATTTTTTTAATTTTAATCTTTGGGAAATGTGGGAGGGACATTTAGGTTAATTTTAACTTCAGTTGAAGTTAAATTATGTTTTGTTTAATGCATAGTTGTTGTTGTTTTAATTTCACTAATTTATTTCAGATCAGACAATAATTGATTAATACCTGGCAATATTGTATTTTCAGTTCTGGTTCCTACATCTATGATGTGGAGAAGTTCCTAAATTTGTATTGCTGACCTTAATGCTCACAATATGTCTGTCGTTCCAGAGGGCCCCTACGGGATCTTTGCGGGACGTGATGCTTCTCGGGGTTTGGCAACATTCTGCCTGGAGAAGGATGCATTGCGAGATGAGTACGATGATCTTTCAGACCTGAATGCGGTACAGATGGAAAGTGTTCGAGAATGGGAGATGCAGTTCATGGGTAAGCAGGAGAATTCTACTTTGAATTCAGAAAGGAAAGGCATAATATGCCCAAAAAAATCTAACAGTGTCTGAAAGATTTCCCCCGGTTTCACAGACAAGGCTTAAGCCTAGTCCCAGACTTAAAAGCATGTCTGAACTGTTTTAACTGAAAGAAACTTGCACTAACATATCTTAAAATATACCAGTGCCATTGTTTTGTCTCAAGATGCACACCAGTAATGTTTTTTTCTAAGGAACATTTCTAAAGATACTTAAATTTCCTAATTGAACTATGGCCTAAACCTGGCTTAGTCAGAGCTAGGGATGTAACGGTATGAAAATTTCTTATCACGATTATAGTGACCAAAATTATCACGGTTATCAGTATTATCACGGTATTGTTAAAATTAGAGGCCGACCGATATGTTTTTTTTTTTTTTTTTTTTTGGGGCCGATACCGATATTAGGGAGTAAAAAAAGGCAGATACCGATATATCGGCCGGTATTCTTTGTGTATATTATATTATATTATAGTACAGTACCAGTCAAAAGTTTGGACACTTTCCCCATTCGTGTGTCCAAAAATTTGACTCGTACTATATGTAGAATATAGTATATACATAAACAGAATATATACATAAACACATTTTTTGGAATGATCACTCAAATGTGGTGATCAAACACTTATAATGGTGACAGAGATATGTAAGGGCATTTAACAATTTAACAAACTTTACTATCCAAAATGAGTCTGACATCAGTGCACTGAACAGTGAAGTTGATGTTTATTCAACTTTAATTCAATTCCATTCAACTTTATTCCGTCGAAGTTTATTTCACTTCGGAACATTCATTCACGGATTTTCGCTACTGTCTTCACACACAGACAAACTTACTAGAGAAGTGTGAAGTGTGACATAATATAGGGGAGTGCGATGCACAAAGTAACGGGGGTTTAGTTGTAACACATGTGGTTTGAATATTTATTTTACCATAGTAAAATACAAATTCTGGCTTAAGTAAATTTATCTCAGTTTTTATTATTCATTTAAAATTAGACAAATCTGCTATTATTTTAATCTCCAATCTGTTATTTATCAGTTCAGATAGTTTTTTTTTTTAATGCTTTGATTACTAGCAGAAGACACTAACCAGTTTTAAATTCCAGTTGCGCAGATGGGGCACGTTGTAACACTGCATTACAATGTGCTATTCTATGACATTAGCTATGCAATTTACACTATTTATTTTAATAAATTTTAATGAGAAACAACGAGAAACAGGTGAATAAAGACTGACAGTCAATGTTTAATGTTTAGAAATTATTATTTCAAGACATGTAAAGCATTTTTGCTAGTTTATGTGGGCCGTCCCAAGCATGGTTGCAGTGTTCATTGTCAAGCTCCAAAATCAGATTATTTTTAATTCTTAAAAAAACGCCATTATTTTATTTGGAAGAAAAAAATAAATATATATATATATAAACATAAACAAAATATTTAAGTTTGTCTTATATTTTTTTCATTCGATCAGATAAGATTTTAAGCTGTCATATGGTCAAGTTACAACGTGCCCCTCAGATGTTACAATGTGTTCAATGAGGATAAATAAAGAAAAACGTATACACTAAGTATGAAACAAAGTGACATATTTGTACTAGACAAGTGTAAAATTACTGTGGATAAAAAAATATATATTCTGAACCCCATGTGGATTTACACAAACTAAGAAAGTCAAAAAGTGTTACTTTGTGCCCCGCTGTCCCCTACCTCTGTAAATAAATTCAAAATAAATTCACGTCTCGCGCACTTTAATGCCCTTTCAATGTAACGTGTACGTTCCCTTGGAACTGGAATCATGGCGGAATATCATGTGAAGTCCACGTCGCAGGGCACTTACGGTCGAATAAGACGACGCTTGAATGCTGCTGCCTGAACAAGAGACCTCCTTACTGAAGGGAAAGTGTTGACTGGTGTCACTATCTCGCGAACGCGCCGGCGGATCTTCACCAAATTCGGGGGATCCCTTCTACCCGAGGAACCCTCTCGAACGCCACCCTCCACGCGTCGGTAGCCCCCCCGGGATCGCTTGATCGGTCTGCGCCGGACCGCAAATTTAACCACCCGTAATTCCCAAACCCCAGGGGCTATCCACGCGGGGGTGGTCTCATTCGAAAGAGGGCCTCTAGACGTACACTCGATTCACGTTTGAGAGGGTTCCTTGAGCTGAAGAGATCCCCCGAATTTGGTGCGGATTCGCCGCGCCGTTACGGAGATATGGCCGTTCAACGTTTCAAGGGTTTTCCATAGACTTAAGCTTTAAAGCGTTTTATCCAGGTCGCCAGTAGCAAACAATGGAGCGCGCTCTGCTGGACAAACTTAGTAATTTCAAGCATTTTATCTGCATTATATGTTCTGTAAAAAAAAAAATTTCGTATCGGCAGCATATTCGCCGATACCGATATATCGGTGGCAGGCTCATATCGGCCGATAATTTTAAATGACAACATGACTGACAACAGTTTATCTAATAGCGTGTTCAAATATCTAATGTAAATGTTCAAATAAAGCTTTGAAAAAGTTTCATAAAAAGGTAAACCTCACATTTCAGCTTTTAAATAAAGAAAAGGGTCAAGTCAAAATGATAATTGATTAATAAGTGATTATATGTATTTATCTGCTCCATAAATAATACTAGATACCTTATTGTTTAAATGTGTAGAATCCACATAAGCTTGTTTTTCATTAACTGGTCAAAATTTACAGCAGGGCATGCTAATTCGGTCCGTTTTTTGATCTACACACCTTTCACTTTTTAAGACGAAAACAAAAGATGGCTTCATTGTTATTCTTAATTAAAAAGCATAACAACAATAAAACAGTAAGATACAATGACAAACTAGCTTATAAAACGTTTATTAACAAAAACGAATAAGACGAGGCATGGCATACACCACATGCTGTATTATATACCGACTAATAAATTACAGAACGTTTAGCAAACACTGAGGATTCAAATAAATAAAGAGAGCCTCCATAGCATAACGTGAGGTAAACCGCAAAGATAAGCTTTTCAAAATGAAAACAAGAAGAAAAGTAAAACTAAACTTGCTGTCGGTAACGGTCCTTGCATGTTTTTGTCCCACAAGAATACCAACATGTTCACCTTTGGTTTAAGAAGCGGTCTTTTACTTTACTTCATCATGAAAACCATCCATCGCTTCCTCAATATTCGTGTCATTTTTGCTGCACGCAGCTTCGCGCTCCTGACGCGGCGAGTATAAACCAGGTTCCACACTCTAAGAGCTGTGTAGCTCAAACGAGTCGCGCGGTTTTGTTATGCTTTCAGTTTCATTTGCCGTTTGATGTTTCTCACATGCAACAGAAATGCAGCTCCTGACGCGGCGAGTATAAACCAGGTTCCACACTCTAAGAGCTGTGTAGCTCAAACGAGTCGCGCAGTTTCGTTATGCTTTCATAATTAAAATATGAAACGGTAATACTAACCGTGGGGTGTTTTATCACGATTTATCACATCAAGCCAGTAATCGGTACATCCCTAGTCAGAGCCCTGACTGTGAAACCAGGCTTTTGTTGGGCTTTAGGGTAATCGGAGCTAGGAAAGTTATGCATTTAGGTAGGTAGTTAGTTATAATTCCTCCTGGACCACAAGCTCTGCATGTTGTTCCTGTTGTGCTGGTTCGGGCTGATCTGTACATTTACTGTAATCACACAGCTGATGCAGGGATGGGGTACTGGGGAAATTCTCTAGATCAGTGTTTCCCAACCGGGGTGCCGCGGCAATAATTGGTAAAAAAAAAATAAAAAAGTTAAATATCTGAACCCTGCTGTTAGACCTACCTGAAAAACTAAAAAGCAATTTATTTAATTCGAAGGCCTGTCGTTATTTATTTGTGCTATCATTATTAATTTCTTTGTTCTTATTTTATTACTGACTGCTTACTTGTCATTTTTTTATTCAATTCAAAGTTTGAAATCAAGCCATCTCGTGTTACTGCACCAAAATTACCCCACTGTAAAATAAAAAAAACACTGAGTGAACAAAAATTTGTGAGACAGCTAGTTATAATGGTAATTAAATTATGTTTACATATGTATAAAAGCCTATATTAAAATCTGTCATATAAATTGGTCTCTTCATTAGAAATTAGCCTACTGATTGCCACCATTGATGGACAATTTTTTTTTATAATATAAAAAATATCTGTA